CACATGTCAAAGTCATTTCAAAGGAACGTCCCTCCCTCCATCTGAGCACGGAATATTGGCATGATACTGCTACCAAGCCGCTAGGAATACAGCAAGGATAGCGCACACGGACAAAACTCAGCTATGTTTGAATACGCGTGAAAGTCGCCAGCTCCCCAACTAGTGGGAAAAAGGCGCTCCTCAACGCAAGAGCTGGCCAGGGGTGACGAGGAGGAGGAGGAGGCGGAGGAGGAGGAGGAGGAAGTGGAAGAGGAGGAGGGGGGGAGACTGACTCCGGGGGGAAACGTCGACCTGGAATGGGAGATGCGTCGCCGATAGATCGGCGATAGGCCCGAGGTGGCGAGTCCGCACGGTACTGGGCGGGGTGGGCTATCGGGCCCCTGTCGGCAATGGATGGCCGATTGGGGGTCGGTGCGCCATCCCATGAGCCCTATACCCCCCTGACGTTGCCCCTGAAGACCGCCAACACATTGAGCAAGCGTAATGCGCGATGTGTTCGCCGTCTTCGGCCTGGCCAGGGCCCTCGCGGGGCCCCTGGACCGCTGGCAGAACGGTGCGGGACGGAAGGCCGACCCTGCTAGGGAAAGGGACCCTCCCTTCCCCCCTCGAGACGGATCAATACATTGGATCTCGCCACCCTGTGCTCGCTTGAAAAGGCCTCTCAGCCACCGCCCTGTTTACCGACGCCCCGTTTGCAGGGCTTGGTCTTGGGGCTCGAGGGCTGAGGTTTTTGGACGCTGCCCCCTCGGGAGCGCTCTCGTCGCCACTGCTGGGCCCCCCTTCGACACTCGTCGGAGGAGCGCATCTCAAGACAGGCCCTGGGCCCGAGGTTTGGCGGAACCCACAAGCCCCCCCCCTCGCGCCTGGATCGGCGGGCCCCTAGGTGGCGACATCCGAGCCTTCCCCCGCCAACCATCGACCGTCCCGAATCGATCCGACTGCGCTTCGTGCTCGCCGCACTCCGAACCCCCGCCGCCCCTCGAGTTGCCAGGACCGTGGCTTGGCGAGGGCAGGGCTCGGACTCCGCCGCCGAGACCTCCTCCCGCGGCGGCGCGGGAGGAGGGAGGAGGGAGGAGGGAGGAGGGAGGATGGAAGGGGAGAGGGAGAGGCAGCTGCCGCCGTGTTCGCGCCCTGCGGCGCATCGCTGCGCCGGCCGCCAGGGAAAATAATAGAAAAAAAAAAAAAAAAAAAAAAAAAAAAAAAAGAAGAAAAAAAAAAAATAAAAATAAAGAAAAAAAAAAAAGAAAAAAAGAAAAAAAATAAAGTAGAAACAAAGCAATAAAAAAAAAAAAAAAAAAAAATAAAAAAAAATAAAAAAAAAAAAGAAAAAAAAGCTCCGCCGGGGCGCGCGTCCTCCGTGGCCGACGGAGCCGCGGCCGCGCCGGCAAGCCGGCTGGCCGCCCGCCGAGCGCCATCCGCCCGCATCGCTCGTCGACACTGCCGACCCACACTCGTCCCGCCAGCCGCCCAAACACAACCAAGTTTTGTATGCTTTTTACCTAACAGCAGTAGACTGATAGGTTTCTAAGGTCCTAATGAAGCACATCATGACGCCGCAGGGGTGTCGGGCGGGACCCGGGGCGGCTGCCGTCGAAGCCCAACTCGCCTGGGACATCCTCGCAAAATCGCTCTTGGCGCTGGGGCGGCTGCCGTCGAAGCCCAAATCGCCTGGGACATCCTCGCAAAATCGCTCTTGGCGCTGCTAGAACTCCATTCCCGGCGTACATTTTGGATGCCCGGAGCCAACTGTAGGCCACTTCGTGGTCTTCGAGTTCCCAGAACACCATTCCCGGGCCAGATTTTGGATGCCCGGAGCCAACTGTAGGCCACTTCGTGGTCTTCGAGTTCCCAGAACTCCATTCCTGGGCATGATTTTGAATGCCCGGAGCCAACTGTAGGCCACTTCGTGGTCTTCGAGTTCCCAGAACTCCATTCCTGGGCATGATTTTGAATGCCCCGAGCCAACTGTAGGCCACTTCGTGGTCTTCGAGTTCCCAGAACTCCATTCACGGGCCACATTTTGAATGCCCGGAGCCAACTGTAGGCCGCTTCGTGGTCTTCGAGTTCCCAGAACTCCATTCCTGGGCATGATTTTGAATGCCCGGAGCCAACTGTAGGCCACTTCGTGTTCTTCGAGTTCCCAGAACTCCATTCCCAGACCACACTTTGAATGCTGAGGCAGGCTGATGCTGAGGCTGAGGCAGGCTGAGGCTGAAGGCAGACTGAGGCTGAGGCCGAGGCTGAAGGCAGACTGAGGCTGAGGCTGAAGCAGGCTGAGGCTGAGGCTGAGGCAGGCTGAGGCTGAGGCTGAGGCAGGCTGATGCTCAGGCAGGCTGAGGCTGAGGCTGAGGCTGATGCAGGCTGAGGCTGAGGCACGCTGAGGAGGCCGAGGCTGAAGGCAGGTAGGCTGATGCTGAGGCAGGCTGAGGCTGAGGCTGAGGCTGATGCAGGCTGAGGCTGAGGCAGGCTGAGGCTGAGGCCAAGGCTGAAGGCAGACTGAGGCTGAGGCTGAAGCAGGCTGAGGCTGAGGCTGAGGCAGGCTGAGGCTGATGCAGGCTGATGCTGAGGCAGGCTGAGGCTGAGGCTGAGGCTGATGCAGGCTGAGGCTGAGGCAGCCTGAGGCTGAGGCTGAGGCTGAAGGCAGACTGAGGCTGAGGCTGAAGCAGGCTGAGGCTGAGGCTGAGGCAGGCTGAGGCTGAGGCTGATGCAGGCTGATGCTGAGGCAGGCTGAGGCTGAGGCTGAGGCTGATGCAGGCTGAGGCTGAGGCAGCCTGAGGCTGAGACCGAGGCTGAAGGCAGACTGAGGCTGAGGCTGAAGCAGGCTGAGGCTGAGGCTGAGGCAGGCTGAGGCTGAGGCAGGCTGATGCTGAGGCAGGCTGAGGCTGAGGCTGAGGCTCATGCAGGCCGAGGCTGAGGCAGGCGAAGGCTGAGGCCGAGGCTGAAGGCAGACTGATGCTGAGGCTGAAGCAGGCTGAGGCTGAGGCTGAGGCAGGCTGAGGCTGAGGCTGATGCAGGCTGATGCTGAGGCAGGCTGAGGCTGAGGCTGAGGCTGATGCAGGCTGAGGCTGCGGCAGCCTGAGGCTGAGGCCGAGGCTGAAGGCAGACTGAGGCTGAGGCTGAAGCAGGCTGAGGCTGAGGCTGAGGCAGGGTGAGGCTGAGGCTGAGGCAGGCTGATGCTGAGGCAGGCTGAGGCTGAGGCTGAGGCTGATGCAGGCTGAGGCTGAGGCAGGCTGAGGCCGAGGCTGAAGGCAGACTGAGGCTGAGGCTGAAGCAGGCTGAGGCTGAGGCTGAGGCAGGCTGAGGCTGAGGCTGAGGCAGGCTGATGCTGAGGCAGGCTGAGGCTGAGGCTGAGGCTGATGCAGGCTGAGGCTGAGGAAGGCTGAGGCTGAGGCCGAGGCTGAAGGCAGACTGAGGCTGAGGCTGAAGCAGGCTGAGGCTGAGGCTGAGGCTGGCTGAGGATGAGGCTGAGGCAGGCTGATGCTGAGGCAGGCTGAGGCTGAGGCTGAGGCTGATGCAGGCTGAGGCTGAGGCAGGCTGAGGCAGGCTGAGGCTGAGGCCGAGGCTGAAGGCAGACTGATGTTGAGGCTGAAGCAGGCTGAGGCTGAGGCTGAGGCAGGCTGAGGCTGAGGCAGGCTGAGGCTGAGGCTGAGGCAGGCTGAGGCTGAGGCTGTGACTGCGACTGCTGTTGCCACTGCGACTGCCATCGCGAATGCGACTACGACTGCGAGAACAGCAGAATTCTACAACAGGATTCTCATCTGAATCTTAAGGGGAATGCTTCCAAATATGCTCCTACACATCGCTGTTAGGTTGCTTTGCCGGGATAATCGCGGCAGCGCCCGTGACCGGCCCCTCCCCCCCCGTTCAAGTTGCGCTTCTTGGGCAAGCCAAGCGGCGCCGGTGCGACTCATGACACGAATGGCCCCCTTCGGGGATCTTCCGACCCGGGTGAATCCAGACCTGGGTCAGTCAGGCCTTGCAGGATCCTGCAAGGATCCTGCAAAACATCCTGCACCCAAACCCGGGTCAATGCGAGCCAGGCCCTGCAGGATCCTTCAAGATCGTGCGCTCTGGCTGACACCCGTTTGGATTGACCCCCTCCCCCCCCCCGCTTCGGGGATGGACAAAACCCCCTTCAGTAAAACGTGGTTCAGTGAAAGCGGCCTCGGGCCCAAACCTGGCGGGCGCGAGCCTGGAAAATGACGGCCGCGGCGCCCCCTCGAGAACCGAACACGCGCAATTCACTAATCGACGCGCCAGGGTGGGGGTTTTGTCTAACCCCGACCGTCACGCCCGTGATCGCCGGGGGAGAAAACAAGGGTCTCCATCCGACGACGCGCTGCCCTCCAGCGCGCGGCCCAAGCGGCCCCGACTTCCCCGGGGGCTTCTCTCCTCGTCCCGCATTCCACTTCTCTGCGGGCCCCGGCCAGGGGCACGACGGCGGGCCCGAGGCGCCGAGCAGGAGGGAGCCTGTCCTGGCTGCAAAACAAAAAAAAGCCTGCCGTCGGAGGAGGGGCAACGACAGAGGGGACGGTAGGAGGAGGAGGAGGAGGGGGAGGGGGAGGAGGAGGAGGAGGAGGGGCAGGCCTGGCCCCAACGTTGCGACCGGCGATGGCGAGAGACTGCCAAGCGCGTTGAGCAAGCCCCTGACAAATGCGCGATGTGCTCGCGGCCTTCAGCCTGGCCGGGGCCCTCGCGGGGCCCCTGGACCACTGGCAGAACGGTCCGGGACCGAAAGCCAGCCCTGCTGGGGGAACAGGTCGCCGCGGGTCGCGCCCCTGAATCAGGGGCGCGCAAACATGGATTAACGATCCATGGGTTTGGCGCGCGGTCGCCAAATCCATGGATCGGGGGAGGTGCCCTCCCCAAAGTGCGGCCGGTGCCGCCTCGTTCGGACCCGTCGCGAATGCACGCCCCCTTGATCCGTGTTTGCGACCGCCTGACTGAAGGTCTGGGTCGCCGCGGGTGGCGCCCCCGTTCGTCCCGCCTGCGGCGCCGCGGCCGCGGCGGGCTGCGCTGCGGCGGCGGGGCGGGGCTCGCCGCGGGCGGCCGCGGCGGCCCGGCGCTCCTGCGGCGCGCAGGGTCGTCGCCGCCGTCGTGCGGGCCTCCGTGGGGCAGTCGCAGCCGCCGCCGAGCGGGCGCTGCCGCTGGTCGGGCGCCCTGCAGCCGCTCGCCGTCGCCCCTGGTTGCCACTCGTCCCCGCCGTCGCCACTCGTCGCCCCCGCCGCCGTAGCCGCTGCCACTGTCGTCGTCGTCATCGTCGGCATCGTCGTCGTCGTCGTCGTCGTCGTCGTCGTCGTCGTCGTCGTCGTCGCTGGTTCGCCTCGCGGATCGGCGACGCTGGCAATGACGAACTAATTACGTGAGGACCCGATCGTCGTGTCCGCCGCTCCGCATTGCGATGGGGAGGAGGATTGGAGAATGCCAAGCCTCAAGAGGCTCCGACTATCCCCCAAGAAGCCTACAAGGTGAAGGATCATTGGAGAACGAGGCAAGACTGCGGACAACACAGGAGGGTGTTGAAGACTCAGCCAGGGTGCTGGACTGGAACGTGTCTTAAGCTCAGCCTCCTTCCTGCCGTGCTGCTGCGCCTACGCGGTCGCGGGGGGTTCGCTGCATGCAGCTGGGCACACGAAGGGTCCGCGCAGACTCAGGAGCTCAAGAGGGATAGGGACAACCCAAGCTCACCCCTGCTGAGCCAAGGAACGCCACGGAAACCGATCGAAGGCTGGCGAGCGCCCTGGAGCGCCAGTGAGTCACAAGGGAGCCGGCGGCCCCCACTGCTAAGGCTCTTGCGGGCTTGTCACGGGGAATTGATGGTGTAGAGATCCTCTCAGTTCTCTTGACCAGTGAGCCGCAATTTCTGAGCAATTACTTTGTTGGACCCCCTCTCGCCACCCTGGCATTCTCGCCTCGGCGCTGGCTAGATTCTCTTCGAAAGCGAAGCTCGCGCTAGAGCATCTAGGGCTTCCACAATACGCGCGTCGTGCAGGCAGACCCCAGGTGGGCAGGCCGGGCGGGCGAGACGCTGAAGCGAGCGGGCGTGCTTCCAGGCAAGCGAACGGGCGGGCACTGACGGGCGGACACTAACGTTAGGTCGGGCATCTACAGGCGGATCTTTGGACGGAAAAAATAGTTCGCCGACCCCTTGGGGATCATCGGCGTGTGAGATGCTTCCCCCTCCCCAAACCCCTCGCCCCGGAGCCCAGTCCGGTCGATTTGGAGGGGGGGGGGGGGGCGTCCGGCTGGAGCTCACCAGGCCGGGGGGTCCGGCCCTTCCTGGGCTCCTTTTGGGGGTCCACGGCAGCTCCTGGGGCCACCCAAAAGGCCCCCAAGACGGTCCAAAAGGGTCGCCGCTCCCCCCCTTTCCTCGGGCCTCCGTCCTCAAGCACGCCAACCAAACCGAAATGCACCAGTCCATCCGCAGCGAAACTTAGCAACGTTGTCATTGAGTCGAAGAGAATCCCCTTCCCCTTGATCCCCCCCCGGCGGAGAGGGAGGGGAGGTGTGGGTGGGGGCGGAGGGGTCCCAAGGGGGGTCGGGGGGGGCCCTGGGGGGTGGTCCCAGGTCAGAACGCCACCCTCCCAGTCCGCCCTTTCCGTCCCATTTCCGCCGGGGGCCGAGGCCCCCAGGGTCGGCGGCACCGGCCGTGAGGCCCTAGCAATGATAAGAAGAAGAGCCCTACAGCGGCGGGGAACGCCTGCGAGGGTGAGCTGACCAGCAACGACTGATTTGCGGATCGGCATATCGGCCCATGGCAGCGTTCTTGTGACAGCACGTTGCAATGGCGGCTACGGGGCGGCAGTGTCTACGACGCCGATGGTGTCGATGACAATGATGATGTTTCACCTCAGTGCTTCGCGCGCGCGCGCCTGGAGGCTTCGCCTCCCGCGCGTCCCGCGCCCGCTCCTTCTGCGCGCGGCATAGGCACCTCAAGCGCTCCGCCCTGCTCGCATGGGCCCGCGGAGCGGCGCGGTGCAAGCGGCGCAGGGGAACTGGGCGGGGCTCCGGCCTCGTCCGCAGAGCGTCGTCCACGCGTGCCTTTACGTCGAGCCGGGCCACCTCGCGTGGGCGCTGATCATCCAAGCGAAGAGATGCGCGCGCAGCTCCCCTGGCCGTTCGAATCTGAAGTAGGACCGACGCAATCGGGAAACCGCGCATCGTGGCCATCTGCAGCGCGCCGCGCGCGCGTTCCAATCGCTGCCCGCCGCTTGTCCAAGTGCTCCTCAGACGTGCGCGCAAGCTGGATGGAGGTCCCGCGTGCGCACGCCCACCTCGATAGCGTGGTCGGCGCTTGTGATGTCGTGAACGCCGCCCGCGTTAACCTGGCAGTCGCGCGCTCCAGCGTCAAGAGCGCCTTCCGCCAGCGGCGCAGCTGACGCAGTCCTGCTTCTCGAGGGCGCCGCGGAATTGCGCGGGCAGCGATTCTGCAGGCCGCTATGATCGCCTGGCGGACATGAGTGGCGGTCGCCACTTTGCCCCCGCGCATCTTGCACCAGCGAGCCGATCTCCCTGTCGAGGCTGCCGAGAGTCTCCAGGCGCCCCCCTGCCTGCCCGCTCGCGGCGCCGCCCCGTGCCAGACCGCCGTGGGCCTCGGCCTTCTGGGCGGCGTCCCTCGCTGCGTTCGCAGACGGGAAACTGCCGTCGCTATTATGCGCCTTCGCCGCGACGCCCGTCAGGGCCACGCCCGCCAGGCAGCCGGCGCGCGTCGCCCCGCGCTGGAGCGGCGGCGGGCGGGGGCGCGAGGAACCGGCCGCCGCGCGGCATCGCGAGGAGCGGGCGGCCGCCGCGGCCCCGCGCAGGCCGGCGCCGTCGCTCGGCGCGGCATGCGCGAGAGCTCCGCTTGAGCCGAAACTGCCGCGGCCCCGGTCGCGCCCCCGCTCTGCCCGCCGCAACTGCGCCGCGCGCCCCCGGGCTGCGCCGTCGCGGCAACGGCGCTCCACCAGGCCGCCACGCGCTGCGTTTTTGCCGCGGGTGGCGCGCGCCGCAGTTGCCGAATAGACGTTGCCACCTCCACGAGAACAGATTCCCCTTTTTAATTTTCCGCGACAGTATGACTAATGCGGGTCCGCAAAAACATGATGGAACGCCCCTGGGCGCCGTAGTTGTCGTGGTTCTACGCTCCGCACGGCGCGCGCGATGCGCGAACTGCGCGCGCGACGTTCCCCCGCGGGCGCGCCGCGGTGCCAGGGGGGGGCGACAGCTCTTCCTGCCCCCGAGCCGCTCAAGACCCGGCAGGTCCACGAAGCAGCGCGCAGCGCAGGAACACTGAGAGATGGAAGAAAACGCATAGGCAACTGCTATTGTCTGAGAGCGGCACCCATGGCGGTGCTGATCATGATGCTGATGATGCCAGCCCCAGTGATGACTTCTGGCTGGGCGCCAGACGCCGTCGCGCCGCTTGCAGGAGGTCCGCCTCCGGGCGGTCGAATTCAGCTTGCCCCAGCGCGCCGCAGTCCAGCGAGTCGAATCCTTCGCTGGTTTCGAGTGGATCCCCTTGTCTGCTGCAAGCTGCGCCCTCTTTGCGGCGGGCTCCTCGGCCGAGGGGGCGACGGCGGCGCTGGCGCCGGGGCCGGGGGCCAGTCGCGCGGGGGGCGGCGCCCGCGCGCCGCCGGCCGGGAGTCTGCCTGCTGGGCGGCCCAGGAGGCCCTTGCCCTCCAGGCACACGCGGGCAGAGCAGTGGAGGCACGCCCGCTTGACCCGCCTAGAGGCACTCCAGCGGGAACTCGACCGCGAGCCAGGGGTACGCGTTGCGCTCTCGCATCCGGTTCGTCTCACCCGTGGCCTCCTTGTTGTGCCTCTTCAGCATCACCTCGGTGATGCTGATGCTCATCACGAAGACCTGGGCGTCTTCTTCGAACGCCGCGTTCCCGTCGCGCTGCCTCGGCGCCGCCATTTGGCGTCGCGACTTTCACTGTCGCCCTCGAGCAAGTCTTTCAAGAATGCCCATGGCATCTACTCTTGCGCTTTCGAGCAGAATTCAAATATCGTTGAGACAGACTTCCTCGGCGGCGAGCATGTCCTCCAGCTTGTAGGAGCCGCTGTCCGAACGCTCTCGCACCTCGAGGGGGCCTCGCAAGCCCTTCAAGAGAAATTCCTTGCCACCGCCCGGCGGGCCCAACAAGCAAACGCTTCTCTGCTTGGCGCGGCGTGTCCTCAAGGCACTCAACACTTCCCACTGGGAAGTGCCGTTGGGTCTGTTGACCGCGAATACATACTTATTTTATCAGGCCGTAGAAACGGCGTGCTGAAAGGACGCGAGCAAGTCTTCTGCGAGACGAGCTCCTCCAATATCTGCTCGCGACTCAGGCTTGCACGCGGCAGTTTCTCTCTAGACGTCGTGGCCTGGAGTACCCTCCCAAAAAAACATCTGGGACTCGATATCCATGAGGTACGACACAAACCCTCTGTCGAGTGCTTCGTCGAGCCCGGTGGCCTTCGCCCAAACTGATCGTTAGTGCGTATGCCGAAGTAGACGCAAGCGTCGTGGGCGGCTGGGGGGGTTCTCCAAACCTGCCGGTCGAAACCGTCGCCCTGCATCTGGCGAAGCACCGCCTGCGCCACTGGCGTTGGCGTTCCGGCGTTGTGCCATTGCTCGCGCTCCTGGTCCGAGCCATTACCGGCTTGTGTTCCAGAGGCACCGTGCCGTAGATCGCCCCTTCCTGCCACGTCTTGATGTTCCGCCCGAACCCGACGTGGATCTTTGATGCTGCAGGAGCCTCTTAGCCACATCCAACCACCTGTATTGCTGGGAGCACCGCGCTAGGAGGTTCATGTGTGGGCGCCCGTCGGCGTCAGGCTCTTGGAAGCAAATCGTCTCGACGACATCCAAGCCGCACTGGACATGTGCAGCCGCGCAAGCCTGTCTAAAGATAGCCCGTGTGAAGTCCAACGGCGTCTTGATCCATTGCCGCGCCACCGTGGCCTCTGCTAGGAAAGCAAAGCTAGTACGCGTACTGACCATGGTTGCCCTGCCCGCGCTGCGGGGGGCCGTCCAAGGCAAGGGCAGCCATAGTCTGGCAGCCAACTTGAGCCGACGTGGCTTGCGGAACGGCGCAGACATAAGGAATGGCCATAATAAGCTCTGAAACAAACAGCCGATAAGTAAAGTTCCAAATCGCACAGTGGACTGGACGGAACGCGCGAAGGCTCGGAGCGAACAACCCTGGACACAATTAAACTCACAGACGCCTTGAGCCCCACTTCAATGTCGGCCCCTCCAGTGTCAAAGGACGCCGTCGCATGCTCTGGGGGGGGTGCGACTTGGCAGTTCCATGCTGACCGACGTTGCAAAGAGGGCGCCAACAAATACTTCGCACTCATTGGCATCCGATCCCACGCACTCAGATGCGCAAGTACCGCAGGTTCTTTGTCAGACGACTTTGCGCGCTGGCCTCTGGCACTGCGTGGATCCTTCAATTTTGGACAGTAACAACTTCTCGGAAATCCAGACACTCTGGACCACTGGCGCCGTCCAACCCTGAACGCCCGCGCCGGGGTCGCTGCTGCGTCGACGAGGCGCGAACCTACCGTAAGATAGATTTGCGGGTTCAATTTTGTCGAGGGCTGTAGTTCTCGCCGTCTGAAGGGCGTGTCTGAATGTCGAGGCTACCACCAAATCATCTGTCACACGACGGCTTCCCAGGTCTTCTGCGTTGCACTGTTTGGAACGTGGACCCCGCAACTCTCCAACACCTCTCCAGGGCCAACTCTTCGTCTCGACCACTTTGTGTGATGGTCCTGGGGTCGAAGAGCAGTCCTCAAAACCCAAAAATAGCGGAACGCATCTGTTTGAAGGGGAACTGGAACACACAAATAAATACACACAAATAAAACAAATCCCCCATATATTCCCATATATTCTGGGTTTTTGTCTTCCCGCCCAATTCCCATCTTTTCCCATATTTTCTTGGGGATCGCCGATAAATTGTGTCTGTGTGTTTTTTCCCTCCTTATTGTTCGAGGCGCTGAAGTGTGGCTCGTCGTCGCCGTCGCCGTCCTCGCCGTGCGGCGGAGGCTCCTCGACCCGCAGGTTGCAGAGGTGGTCCTCCAGCTCTCCCTCCAGCTGCCTCCGGCCGGGCGACGCTGTCATCTCCTCCTGTTTCTGTCGGACGACGGCAAGATCAGGATAGAGTCTGGTGAATATGAATCGGGGATCTTTGAGAATCGCTGGGTCTAGGGACCGTGGCTGTCCTAGAGCGTTCCGGCCAGCCCTGGAGCGATTTATCCTCATCCAACCTGTCTGACTCCTCCTCCTCCCCCTCCTCCCCCTCCTCGTCCTCCTCCTCCTCCTCCTGACAAGGAAAAGACGCAGCAGGGGGTAGGACGAAGGGGAAGAGCAGGAAAAGTAACGGCAGGGCCAGGCGTTCTGACCAGAATCTCGACCCTCAACTTTCCTCGATCCTCGATCCTCTTCCTCCTGAGCTTCAAGCGGTTTAGCTGGAGCTCGAGGGGGGCATGTAAACTTGCTCGCTTACCCGCACACGCGTGTGGGTCGCTTGGGTATGCAGAGAAAAACTCAAGCATCAGAAAGGACTCCTCCTCCTCCTCCTCCTCCTCCTCCTCCTCCTCCTCCTCTTCCTCCCTGCTCTCCTGCTCCCTGCTCCCCTGCTCTCCTCCTCCTCCTCCTCCTCCTCCTCTCCTCCTCCTCCTCCTCCTCCTCCTCCTCCTCCTCCTCCTCCCCCTTCTCCTCCCCGCCTCCTCCTGCTCCCTGCTCCCTGCTCCCTGCTCCCCTCCTCCTCCTCTTCTCCTCCTCCTCCCCCTCCTCCCCCTCCTCCTCCTCCTCGTCCTTCTCCTCCCTCCTCCTCCTCCTCCTCTCCTCCTCCCACATCCTCCTCCTTCTTCTTCTCCTCCTCCTCCTCCTCCTCCTCCTCATCCCTGCTTCCCTGCTCCCTGCTCCTTCCTCCTCCTCCTCCTCCTCCTCCTCCTCTCCTCCTCCTCCTCCTCCTCTCCTCCTGCTCCTCCTCCGCCTCCTCCTCCTTTCACGTTTCTGAAGACCGTGGGCCCGCGATGCTCCACTAGATCTCGCTCCCTAAACCTCCTTCTCCTCAATGATCCCACTTGGAGGGTGGGAGTTGGGCCGTTTTCAACCTGGGCCAAGATCGTGTGGGGAGCTGCCACTGCGCGAGACGGAGGAATCACCCTGCCCGAACTTAGGGATTTTGTTGCCCCCATTTGAGCTGCTCCCCCCAAGGTGGTTGGACTCCAGGGGCCCCTTCGGAGCGTGCCTTCTCTCGCTCAGCAGACTTGATTGGAAGTCCGTCAGTGCGTTCGAGTTTTCGGAAGTGGATGGCTCACTCTTTCCCCTCACCTCGGTTTCGCCCGCCTTCCTCTCCGCCGCGCTGCAGAAGTCATGGCGGGACAGGCTGGTGGAGCAAGCGAGCGAGCGACTGGAGTGGTGGAGGATCAGGTCTGCGTTTCTGCTGCCCTCAGCGTCCTCAACTCCCCTTCTCGTACCCCCCAGGAGCGTTCCATCCTCCTCGCCTTCCTCTCCCGGAGTA